TCTTGTCTCTCGCTCACCGCAGTGGCTGTCTCCCTGGCGGAAGTCCGGGACGTTTGTCTAAGCGACCCTCTAGGGTACCAGGCAGCCTCGTCTTTCTTTCAAGCCCTCGCTGCTACTCTTCCCGTGGCTAGAAGAGCGACTGCTCTAGGAAACAGGAGGAGCACCATCTATGCTCCCAGCTGCCCGCGCTTTGCTCGTTGCCCTTCTTCCAGCCGCAGTACCCTACCCTCCTCTGTCCTTCACTCGCGAGGACCTACCTGGCCTCCAGACGGATTCCAGGTTGCAGATACTGGGAAGCGGCAGACCTCTGCTTGCAGTGGATTGTCCAGGAGCCCGTCCTCTTGTGCAGTGGACACCGCGAAACCACGAACCCCAAATGAACTCCGACACCCGCCGACCTGACCTGGGGGCACCCCAGTAATGCATGGCTGACCCGCCCCTTCCCCAAATACCATGGGTGTCTCCCTTTAGATGCCCCTGGATCCAGCCCCTGTCACTCTGTCCACGCCTCGCAGAGCTAACCCCCTCATGCCTGGATTATTGCTTTGGGTTCTTGACTTTTTACGCCGATGATCTGAAAACCCAAGTCAGATCGTGGCATCCATGAGTTCAGAACTCTCCAGGCTTTCCCACCTTAGAAAGAATGCCAGCGGTTCAGTAATTCACACAGGCTGTCATCTAGCCCTGTCTTTTCTTTTCATACTTTGTGTCTGCAGGGCTAAGATCAGTGCTCAGCAGTCCCAAGCACTCCGTGTTTGTCCCACCAATGACTTTGTAAGGTGCTTCATTCCTTGCAAAAAGCTTTTCCATCTATGTCCTGATCATCCAGCTTTACTGTAGTCTTGTGAGCAGGGGCTGTCACATCTCTCCCTAACCCTAACCTTCAAGAGTCCATACTTGGGCTGCTGTGCAGCTGGCCAAGTGTGAAGCTGGACCAGAAGTTCAGCTCAGTGATCTTCTACATATTGTCTGGATGATTGTGAAGCTTAAATGAGATAATAGAAGGCACTCAGCACAATGTATAACTCAAGAAGTGGAAGCCAGTAGGGTTTTTATTATTAAATTATTACAAACTGTTGGTGCTGGTGGGTTGAGGGGCTGGGAATGATGGGCAGTGGCCAGAGGTGCCAGAGATGGTTTTTCCCAAGTTTCAAGACCAAAAATGATCTGCTGGGACTGTTTGCTCTGTGTACATGAAAATAATAAACATTTTTCTAAAAAACATCACAAGTAGAGTCATGAATTAAAACTAACCCTTTCTGTATCCCATATCGCCCCCTTTTTCTCATACCTGAAGACAAGTGGGCCAGTTTTAGAAGGTGCAGATTAGAGTTCAGGTGAAGATTTTAAAAAGGAGAAATGTGAACGGAGGAAGTAAAGGGGAGTGTGTCGTGGACAAGAGTGGAGATGAGAGAGGCCAGGGCTGGAATAGACAAGAAGTCAGAGGGAAAGGGCTAAATGAGAATAAGCAGGTGGGGTTTATGCCCTGGAGTTACTTATACTATAAACTATTATATAATAGTTAACCTCCTGAGTGCCTACTGAGTGATCAGGTGGATTTGATGCACTAGCAGCGCCTGGCCTCCTGGAGTGTTCTTGGATGTGGCTGCCTTGCCTGAGCCACCTTCTCTGGTCCCATACTCATGCCTCCTGCAGGTGACAGCACCTCCTAGTGACCCACAAGCCCATCCTACCTGTTAGGGACCTGATACCCAGGTAGCCTTTATCACATGGCTGGTGTGCATGGATATGAGGCACCTCAGGCCCCAGGGGAGCTTTGGTCCCTGTCTCTGCTAGCCCTGCACTCTTTCCCTTTGCCACCAGGCTAGCTTGGGCCAAAGAGGGGCACTTCTGCCCACAAGTTCCTAATAAATTGTGATCCTGGAGCTGTCTGCCTCTTTCTCTGGTCTCACAGCACCTTTTTCCTTTGGCAGCTGATTCTTACCCATCAGGATTTGGTTTTTCTGAAACACCACCAAAAGTTACACATTATAGAGTCAGGTTTGGAAGCAGTTATATCTGATCTTAGGAAAGAGAAAGGAAAGACTGGAGGACACACAGTTTGGGATCCTAGCTGCATCTTCTGGGGAACCTGAACTGAGAGAGGCTGGACCCCTCAGTGATCAAGTCCTCTCTGGGAAGCTGCCCAGCAGAGACCACAGGGCCTGGAGTGCAGTGCTATCAGACAGGCTGCTGCTAGAAAAAATAACCCACTGGGCTGAGCGACCTTTTGTAAATTGGCTTCCTTTGCCCATGGCCCTGTCCCTGTCCCTGTGCATGTGCTTATGCATGCAGTTACACACACTATCTCACAAGCACTGTCTCAGTGAGAAGGGCTTCTGCCCTGGGTCTGTGTTGATGCAGTGGCCAGTATGGTCCCTCTTCCCAAAGCAGATTGCTCAGCTCAGGTCCCTGAGCATTTCTATCCACCACGTCTGAGACTGCTTTGCTTCTTCTAGGCTCTCGGTGAAAGGAACCCTGGGAATTCCCACTCCAGCAGAAAACATCCCTGTGACTGCCCCAGGATAGCCCATGACCTGTTGCATGCTGTGGCCTCTGGGCACGTAGTACGTCAACAGCTGGCTCCCTCCCAACTTGGGCTCGTGGCCTAAATATAGAATGTGCAGCTGGCTGTTTTTGTACTTAGAGCTGCTTGGCTCTGACCTGGCTTCCTGCATGGTCACTGCAGAGGGCATGAGGGCAGGGGGCTGCCACTCACCTCTCTATTTGACCAGGATGCCCCTCTGGAGCTGTGGGCACCTGGGCCCCCATGAATGGCTATGTCTGGCACCTCCAGTTCCTCTGCCAGTCACCTGGTCAGGCTGGGTCAGCCTTGGCCTTGTTCCTGGGTGTTCAGAGGCCAGATGTGTCCCTGGTGCATGGCTTTGTTTTGATTATAAGAAAGTTGTTAGCCCATTTTCTGGTAAACACTCCAAGCAGGCAGAACAAGGTTATTGCTGCAGAAAAACAAGCTGTTTTTGATCTCTCTGGTCATTTGTTCTGGACAAACAACCCTGTTTTTCCCAAGTTCAGTCCTTTTGCAATCATGTTGATCTTATCCAGTGATGTTTATCACCCTTTCAGGTCCCCTGGGCTGACCAGGAGGAGAGTGCCACTTAAAAGACAGTACTTTGGGCTAAAAGAATTCGTTCAGTGGCACTGTGCATGTCTTGCAAGTGCCAGGTCCTGAATTCAATCCCCAATACCAAAATAAAAACAACAACAACAACAAAAAAAACAAAAGACAAGACAGCACTTTCCCACAAGGATGTTTACTTTACCTTGGATACCTGAACTGTGTGAGGTGAAGAGCACATGGAGCCTGCCATGAACTGAACTACACAGAGCAGTGCCCCTGGACTAGCAGAACCACACCACTGACAACCTGATGTAGGCCAACCCGGACCAGCAGCTTTCCTGAGGGTCTCTGATCAAAAGCCTTGCAAACACCTCCAAAGATTGCAGAAAAAAACATTGTTCCCTTTTCTGTGCAATTTGCTAGAGAATTTTCTTAGCCGTGATATTCAGAAATTAGTTTTAATAATGTCTATTCCCAAAGTGACACTCATCTAAAAAGGCCTTAAAACACACTTTTAATTGCAAAAATCAATATCCAACCAGGCTGGTGCCGGTTTCCTGCTCTGATCACTTCTGGAGCCCAGGGTTGTGCTGCCCAGGCAGGCAGGGCTCGGCCTTCTACACCTCAGACCTTGCCCAGGCCAGCACCATGCAGCCTTGGCCCTCCTTCCCCAGCCTTCTGGCTGTGGCTGTCCCGAGGACAGCTCTGAGCACAGAGACAACTGGGGCTCCGTTTCTGTTCCTGGGAGCCAAGCACAGGCCTGGCACAAGGCTGCCACTCCATTACCTTACAGCAGAGGACAGGAGTGGTCCTGGGCCTGAGGCTGAAAAAGCAGGCTCAGTGTCAACTTCTGTGGAGCTCCCGCCTGGTATGACCCCACCCTCTCCTTCACCCTTACCTGGAAGGTCCTGAGCCTTAGGTGCTGTGCCTGCAGTTCAGGTGGCCCTGCTGCTCAGCCCCCTGCAGGCTTCCCCAGAACGTCCTTCTCTATGTCTCAGGCCACACCAGTCCCAGCTGGACACAAAAGCAAGGGTCCTGTCAGTGTCAACTGTGGCCTCACATACTGTGGGATGAGAGCTTCCAAGATCTGGGGCCACAGTGCACACACCATGGGGCGAAGACAAAGAAAGCCTGGCCCTCATTCCCACAGCTCAGTGCAGCACACCTTTATTGAGCTCTAATAAGCTACTCTGCCAGAGAGGAGGGGCAAGTGCACTGCTCCCCCTGGCCCCCACCTCTGACCACCGTGTCCCCAGCACACCCTAGGGGCTCCACAAGGTGAGATGTCCCCCGGCTCTGCCCTGTCCCGAGCCCATATTGCAGCGCTGACACGGAATCTCTTCCATCTCCACAAGCTTCATGGTTTCTCCCTGGGAATCCACTGCCCACAGATCCCAGCAAGGGAAAAATTGGGGCTTCAGTTTGTAGTGTTAGATAAACACCCTCCTGCCTGATGTAAGCTGCTATAGGGCTTTGAAAAGCCTTCCTCATTCATTCTAGAAATTCTCCACCAGTCAACAAACACAATGTTCGGTGTCTGGCCCCCAAGGAGTTCTAAATGCTTCTCTCTCCAAATGGGCCTTTCCCCTCATTACCATGCTGTGATGAGCAGTACTGGGTCACCTTGCCTTCTGGAACTGAGCTGCCACTACTGCCATGTCCTGCTATCCGCACGGCGTCTCTTCTTATGGGATTAAGCTGAAACTGCTCTCAGCAAGCTCTGCTCATGGTCGTCTTTGTGTCTTGCTGAGCATGAAGACTGACTCTGCAGAGAGGTCAGACCTGTGGCCTGGCTGCTGATCACACTCTGGGTTGGGGTGCAGGGCTGTGGCTTTGGAGATGCCATAGGGAAGGTAAGGATGGAGTACAGCTTTCCACAGCAGAGCCCTGAGTGGCAGCAGGACATGGGGATGGACAAGACTCTCGTGGCTCCCGGGTGATGAGGGTAGGGCTGGTGGCCTGTGTCAGGTGCTGCCCTCCTGAAGGACTGGCCACAATGCCCCATCAGATGACACAGCTGGTGCAACAGCTTCAGCTCATTGTCCAGGTCGCTTCCCACAGACTCCAGCTGAAAGGCCTTCACTTCCAGGGACTGGATTTGTCCAGGGCTCACCCTAGTTAGGCTTTAACATGTTAGAAGCATGGGTGCTGGATTCCTCAGGCAGTGGTGTGATGAGCATGACCAGTCAGCCTGGCCACTGGGCTCCACGGCACTTATAGCTGGGGGTGGTGCAAGAGGCGGCACCAGTGGCTACTCAGCCTCCACCAGCTGTGCCAGGCGCTCCAGCATTGTGAGACGCAAGGCTTGGAACCTGCAGGGAGATGGAACAGGATCTTGCTGAGGCTGGGGGGAGAGGGACGGGCATGCAGGTGCCTGGCTTGGGGACCACTGCACCCACTACTGTGTCTTCTCTAGCAGTGAGGGGCAGAGCCCACCTACTCCCATGAGAAGTTGTCAGCAGGGCTGCCTGCATAAGCAGCAGGCAGAAAGAGGTAGATTCTATTCCTTAGAAAGAAAGCTTGGCCCTGGACTGGAGTGGCCAGGGTGCAAAGGGTGGTGGTAGGGATTAAGCCTGTGTTCCAGACTGAGCTCTGCAAATAGCCTGTGCTGCACGCTTCTCAGCCTGGGCCTCAGTGTCCTCTGTACTCTGACCAGCGGACTTCCGGGTCCCTTTTCTCTCTAAAGCCCTAGTGACATGACTGCAGTGGGTGATTCCTTCTATGGGAACCCCGCTAGCTCCCTGGTAGGGGTGACTGCACAGATGGGGGTGTGGCTTTCTGTGCCAGATCCTTGCAGGCCCTTCAGTGAGCAGCAATCCTTTCACAGAACAGATACTCACTGGGTGTCTGCTCCACCTTGCTGAGGGATATATACATCAGGACATGTAGCCTGCTAACTTCACACAGCCAGCTCAGGTGTCTTCCATGCCTCCTCCTCTAAACTGCCCTCCTGTAACAGCAGCTAGATAACCAGCAGAACTGGAAATCTTCACCCAGAGCCAGCTGCCCTCCTGCTTCTGCCTTCAGGCCCAGTTTTCTATAGCCACCAAGGTCTGGGAGGGCATTGAGGAGGGTGGGAGGTCTGGGATGTGTCTTCTTCATTCTGGTAGCTGCCCACCATCATGCCATCAACACCGAGCAGGGTCAGAGGTGGGGCCAGGAGCCTCCCCAGACCATAGGGCAATGCCCAGGAGAGGGGTGCCCTGAGGGCAAGGACCAGTGTCAGGACCCATGGCTGGCTGAGAACAGCCACTTACTTCATCGTCAGTTTGATGATTTCTCTCTCCTCCTCTTCTTTTAATTTTTCAACAAAACTGTCCAGCACAGGCATTTCAAACTTAATGTACTGAGCGACCTAGAAAATCCAAGAATATTTTGGTGTGCCTTATGCAAGAGGTCCAGGCATGCTTTTCTCTTCTGGCTTCCACAGTGGGCCAGGCCAGCAAGGTCCACAGAGCCACAGCTGCCCACTTTCCTATGCCCCACTGTGGACAGAGTGGAATCTCCTTGTCTCACAGAAAAGCTTATCCCTGGGGGAAGCCCAGATTTGATTCTAAGAAAGGTGCCAGCTGGGCAGGAGTGGTAGGAACACCTCCCCCCACCCCCGCACTCTTTTAGCAAAATTGAACTAAATCCCTGGCCTTAAGGGTTAGGGTTAGGGATGGAAACCAGACCAGCCTGTGGGGAGGCCCAGAGAGATAAGGCCCAACTATTGTAGATAGGTAAGTTAATTAGATATCTTATAGGCAGTTAGAAGGGGCAGGGCCTCTAGGAGTAAACATGAAGGACCATTGAGACATATTCAGTGAAGGTCAGTATTATAAAAAGAGCGAAACTACTACACCCTACACCCTAGTTACTTCCTGAGGGATGAATAGCAGTGATATTCTAAATAGGTATCAATCATCTGGGTGGGGGACCAAGACCTTAATCCACCCCTCCCAGAAAAGGACCCTGATGCCTTATCAAAAATCTTTGCTACATTCCTTGTACCCTTGCTGTGTGACTTGTTTCTCCATTGGGTCCCCATTTAATCAATATTATCTCAGTGACTATACTTGTTATAATCTTATTGGTTTATCACAGTTTTGTCCCACCTCATGTCCACCTTGTGATTTCCCACTAGACCAATATTACCTAAGCAACTATACTTGCAATCTGCCTAGTTGACTTTTAGTTTTGTCCCATTTTGAACTTGCCTCACCTCATGGCTTTGCTCCATAAAAACCCCCTGGGAAAAAGGGTACCCTAGGCAACCCACTTTCCAGTCCTTCTGTCTCTCTTAGACAGAAGCTATCTTTTTCTCAATAAAATTTTCCTACTCTTAACCTTGTAGAATTGATCCTAGAATTCATTCTTTGATTTTAGAGAACACAAACTTGCGTTTCAGGTATCTAGCAGGATTGGGAGTTACATCTATTCTACCTTCTCCTGGGTCCTAATCCCACATGCTTCTGAGCCAACTTAGGCACCTCCTTTTCTTGCCTGTATTAGGCCCTAGCCAAGGAGCCCAAGGTATCACATACCAGAGAGGAAAAGGACCAGGCCTTGGCTTCCAAGGTCCCAGGCTCCCCTTGGCCTAGGCCAGCCAGGAAGAGGGCACTGCTGCCTCAGGATAGTCCAGTGCACATTGCCACAAAGGACTCAGGCCAAGATCACTACCTCCCCACCCCCACCAGCAATGACCCCACTCACGTCGTAGGGGACTTCTTCGCCCAGGTCCGCCTCCATCAGGAAGATCTTGACAATCTTCTCAGAGGGCCCATGCAGGATCCTGGAAATCAGTGGGTACTCAGAGTCCTTTAGCTTAGTCCTCTCTAAAACAGAAGGAGATTGAGACAGCTCGCAGGATGTAAGGGTGACCTCTTCCACTGGACAGGAGTGTGAGGGAGAATGGACGGTCAGGGGGTCAGAGGTCAGAGATGGATAATCTGCTGCAGGACAGCAGGACTGGCCACACTATGTTGGCCTGTGGTGTAGAATTACGGTGGTGACTGAGCAGAAGCAGATGCAAGGAGAGCTCGGTGCCTTCCTCCCACTTGTCTCCAGGCAGGGAATGTTTGTCAGGGTGTCCCCTCCCCTCACCAGGAAGGACAGAAGTCAGTCTCCAGAGAAAACTTGGGCCCTCACTCACCCAAAGAATCTACCAGAGTAATCTCCATAAGGAAGCCTGCTAAAAACAAGCCCTTATCCCCATCTGCCTCCTCCCCCATGACCTCTACAGTGCCACCTGGAGACTAGTCTGTCTCTTGTGCCCCAGCCCTTCCTTTTGCCCCATGTGGGGATCCTCCACTGGCAACACAGGGGAAAACCCGCTGTACAGCAGCAAATCCCCTCACTGAACCTCGCTAAAGCAATTCTGAGCTCCTGCAGGGACACTGAGTGAAGAGCAATGGACAGGGTGACTCTCCTTCTGGGGAGGAGCCTCTGTGAGGAGGACATTTAACCCTGCCAGTCTGCAAGCTTTTTTTATTTAGTTAGTTTATTGGTACATTTTAGGTATACAGTACAGTTACATTCATTATTGGGGTCTTGTACCTTTACATGACAGGTCTTGGTTCTCATTTTTTCCCCTTCTCCCTGCCCTCCCTTCTCCCCCTGCTTCCCTCCCCATTTACAAACATTTTATTTCCATTTTTTCATTTTCTCATATTTTTTCTCTTCCCTTATTACCTTTCCCCTACCCTTCCACATTCCATACATCTTTAGCCCTTTTCTAGTTAACATTGTCAATTATCTTATTAGGATCTTATATACTGTTATAATTTTTCACAACAGAGAAACTATTTGGTATTTACACATGCGTGACTTATTTATTTCACTTAGGAGTATATCCTCAATATGTATCCATTTTCCTATGAATGAGTCTAATTTCTCATTCTTTATGGCAGAGTAGTGCTCCATTTTATAGAAAAACCACATCTTTATCCAGTTTCCAACTGATGGGCAAATGGGCTGTTTCCAAGTTTTAGCTATTACAAACTGTGCCACTATAAACATGGGTGCACATATATCACTGTGGTATGATTCTTTTAATTCTTTTGGAAAGATACCCAGCAGAGGGATGCCTGAGTCAAATGGAACCGCTAGTTCCACCTCTTTGAGGTATCTCCATATTGATTTCCATAGTGGTTGCACCAGTCTGCACTCCCACCAACAATGGAGAAGGGTTCCTTTCTCCCTACAACCCCATCAATATTCAGCCTGCAAGCTTTGAGGCACAATGCTGGTTACAGTGCAGGTGTCACTGGACCAGAATGCCCTGGGAAAGGCATCCCTGAGACCCCAGGTAATTCCTGCATCTCCAATCCCCAGTTTCTTGTGGAAACTCTATATCCCCCATTGTCCACTCTGGCAGGCACACTCTGATCTGAATAAACTGCCTGATTCTCACCTTGGTGAATTCCTTTGTTGCCTGTGTCCCTAACTTGGCATTGGCACCAAAGGTCCCACCCCTTGGGTCACTGTCCTGGGAGTGCGGGTGGTCGATGCACCTGCTAACATCCATGGATGCTTTCCTCTTGCTAAACTGCTTTGTGTTAATCTCATTTATGGGGCCCAGCCAATAAACGTCACATGGGTAGAAGAGGAAGGCTTTGTTCCTTTCCCAAGTATCACCCAGCCAAGGCCCCCTAGTACAAAGAGGAGCAGAAGGGTAGGAGTTTGGAGGGAGGAGAGGTAGCTGGGTGCCAGCATGGCCACCGGAGCAGCAGGGGCCCTGCAGGTTCTGGACTGCAGAAGCTCAGCCTCACAGCCCAGCACACATCCCACACTCCCGGCTGAGACCCCAGGAGGTAGACATCTTCCATTTCATGGGACAGGGTCTGAAAGACTAGGTTCTGAAAGTGATAGCGGGTAGTACAGGAACAGCATGGTCCAGGGGAGGGGCAGGGGCTGCCAGGGAGCTGGGAGCTGGCTGTAGGGACATAGGCCTTCCTATTTCCTGCTGTACAAGTGGAAGCTGGCACTCACCCCCAGACTCGTGGACCACGTAGAGTGCAAACTCCTCAGGGCCATCTTCTACCTGGAGAGGAGGACACAGAAGTCAGAGCTTGGCTCTGTGAGCCAAGAGGGAAGAGGGTACAAAGCCACATGCCCAGGACCCTGCCCATTGTGTCTGAATCCCAGGGTCTCCTGTGTAGTTCAGGAAACCCTGCTGGTCTTCTACCCTTTCCCTCCCAGCTTTCTGCCCAGCAAGGCACCCACACCATGACCCCACTCACCCTGAACTTGTTGAGCAGCAGAGTGAGCACCTGCAGTGTGTTCATGGTGCTATTCACCCTCACGTTGGTCACGGACCCATAGGCAGGGGTGAACACAGAGGTCTGTGTGGGAGGAGGAGGGCAGCTCAGGGCAGGCCTGGTGGAGGCATGGGCCAATGGAATGGTGCCCCGCTCTGTGGACCCCCCCACTCTGAAGCAGGGCACTCAAGGAAGCTGGAGCAGGGCATCTTACAGAAGACCATGGGGCCCCCCATGCCCCACAGCACTAGGGCCAGCTCTCTCTGCATCAGAGGAGCCAGGGGAAGAGATTCATGGTGTGGGAGGCTGGACTCTCCTTCGCTACACCCATCGAGTCACCACGTCTGCTGATCCTCTTCTGTGTACTCCCAGTGGTGCCAGGCAGAGCCCTGGCACCATCGCAGCAGCCCCCAGTGAGTCCCCATCTCCTTATCCCTTTCCCTCCACCTTTCACACTGCTGCCCAAGGAACCACCTTCCAAAAATCTCTGTTCACCTAAGTGCAGCCAGGGCTGCACCTTATCAGCATCCCGCAGCTCCCCAGTGCAGAATCTGGAACAGAATCATCATGGAAAAAAACACCTGTCCATGCTGTCTGAACAGTGCCATTTGCCAGAGCTCTTTAAAATGCATGAGTCTAGCTAAAGACATCTGTAGGTTTCCACAGCCACACAACACTGCCCCAGCTCCCCAGTTACACACACAACACCAGGGGCTTCCTCACAGTTTTGGAGGAGGCTCATTATATTCCTGTGTGCGTGTGTGTGTGTGTAAAGGAGACAGAAATCAGAGCTTTGCACATGCCAGAGGAATGCTCTACCACTGAGCTACTACCCTAGCCCTTGGCCTTGAACTTGTAATCTTCCTGCCTCAACCTCCTGAGTAGCTGGGATCAAGGTGTGTGCTTTCACATTTGGCAATTATTCTTGCAAGTTCTTGCTTTTGCCCATGAGACACTGTACATCCACAACCACTGTATCCACAACCAGGATAGTTCAACACACAATTTCTTAGCTTTATGATGGTGTGCAAACAGTACACATGGGGTAGAAACTGTAATGACAGTTTCTTATTTGGACCTTTTCCCAGGTTAGTGATGTGCTAAAAGATGGTATCTCCCAGTGCAGACAGTGTAGTGAGCTGCAGGATCGTGAAGGGGCCAACCAGTACCATAATCAATACATCACTTAGTAAGGTTGTTCAGTAGGGTGGGCAGACAAGATGCATCTTTGTCTTACAGAATTTTAAACACTAGGCTGGCTGCACCAGACCTAACCTCATTTTAAATTGGAGGGTATCCATACATGAAGTCACCCAGGACACCACCTACGTGGAATAGTCCTCAGCAACCACCCACTGCACCTTGCACCTGCTAGTACTTTATGCGCAGTCTTTGATTTTAACCCTCACTATGGCTTCTGATACACCTAGAACTTTTCTCAGAAAGGAAATACAGGGTGGGGAAGTCAGAGAGTTAGTCAAGGTCACCCACCTAAAATAACAGCACCATGACCAAGGGTCCTGGGATGGCTGAAAGCCCAGGGGAGGTAGGAGGAGCCAGTTCATCAAAGCTGAACCCCAAGATTCCACACTTGCGTCATGAGGCAAAGTCCTCTTTTTTTCTAAGATTGCAGAACTGGAAAGAGGCTACACCCAGCACATGGTCTTTGAAGATGTTTGAGGACTTCCTTAAAATAGAATATCAGTATTTACTCAAACACTGCCAATGGGCACTTAAGCTTTGCAAACTAAATCCCCTTGGGAGCAGGACCTAAAGGACACACCATGGCCATTCTGTAGCACTTGTTGCAAAGCTCACAGGGGCCAGGCTTAAGAGAAGAGAAGTGGTGAGGTTGAAGCAGGGTCCCTGAGCTGAGGGGGTCCTGTGCACCCCCAGAATGGCTTGAGCAATCTCTGCACGGCTTCAGGAGCTGCTGCCTCTGCAGTGTGACCCCCAAACCCCCTCCCCACCCATGAGTCATCCAGGAGGGCAGCTGCCCAGCTGGGAACCCCTGCTCCATTTCCCAGCACAGCAGGATGTGGCCAGCACAGGCACAGGACACTCTGGTTTGCCTCACCCAACTGCCACTCCTTCCATTTATAGTAACAATTGCTTCTCTTTACAGCGCCTGTGTTTGTGAAGTGATGTAATGGGGGAAGGTGATCAGTTCCCAAGGTCAGGACAATGCACACTTGGACAAAAGCTGGTGCTGGGAACCGGGCCCCACCAGGTTCTCTGGGAATAAACAGGGTCCCCTGGAACACTCTATATGGGCTCAACCCACCAGAATAGGGACAGCAGGACACACACTGTTCCCACAAGATGATAGTGTCTCAGGTTGGAGAAACCTCCCAGAAATGGCCTCACTACAGCTAAACTTTGAGTTTCTGTCTGTCAAAACCTCTAAGACCCGGAGAAAAGAGGGACAGGGTGTAGCAGTGGACACTGGGTCCTGAGCGGGGATGTTTTGGGGGTGTGATGTTAGGCAAAGTGGTTCTCCCATGGAGCCTTTGAGTAGGTCAGGCCAGGCCATGCTGGAACGTCACCTTGTGATTGTAAAAGTGCCCGTTGATGGAGAACCGGTGCCGCTGGATCCGCTGGGCCTCACTGGGCGCATGGCGCTTGGGCCGCCTCTGGATCATGCAGCTGGCATCACTCTTAGTCCGCATCAGCTGGGGAACCTCTTCCTCCTCCTCTGGGCTCCCTGCAGGGAGAAAGGGATGAATACTTGGCTCCCAGGCCCCAGAAGTTGCTGCTCTGCAGGGCGCTCAGGTCACTCCTGCAGTAGGCTGCACTAGGCATGGCGGAACCATGCTTACCTGAGCTGTCCCTGGAGCCCTCGGCCTGGTGCAGTGCCTGGGCACTTGGCTCCTGGGCAGTGATCCCGCAGTCCTGCTGAGGGGGCTCCTTTCTGAAAGGGACCATCGCAACACTCAGGTGACCGAGGCATAAACAGGCAACTCAGTCAGAGGAGCCCCTGGCTACCTGGGGTAGGATGTGGGTGAGAGCAGGGCAGGTGGAGGAGGTAGGTGAACTTCCAACAGGAGGAGCAAACAAAGGCTTCCTAACTCTTGCTGGGAGGAGCAGAGGTGTCTGGCCTGCTGGGCTGCAACCCAGGGACACACGCATAGCTGGTGTCCTTCTCCAGCAGGGGCTCAGCCAGGTCAGTGTTGGAGTGGCCACGTGTCTGGGGGCTCACAGGGCTTCCCACAGGCTGGAGGAGTCAGGGAGGGGCAAGGACAGATCCTAGGCATGGCACCCAGTGATGGAGCAGAGAAAAGGAACAGCATGCTGGGTAGAACATGGCTCAAGTACAGGGGTGCTGGGAAGTCCTAAGGACATGGCCAGCTGGGCCTGGAGCTGCTTCCCCACTTCTAGTGAGTCTGTCTTCATGCCCACATGTGTGCAGTGAGCAGGGCTTTGGCTGTGCAGATGTAGGAGGGATAGAGGGATCCACTGGACATGGGTGGGCTGGGCTCTTCCTGGAGTCTGAGGTGCCTGGGCATCACAGAGACCCCACCCCGCCCATCTCAGCACTTACAGGGGACAGCTGGGTGGTGCAGGCAGGCACAAGGCAGAGGGGACGTGTGTGGGCTCTCTGTCGTCCTGCATCTGGAGACGGATGGGCCTGCGGAGCCCCCAGGCGATGTTGAGGAGACCCTCGATGATTAGAGCCCCTTCCTCCTGTGGGAACTTCCGGTCAGCTGCACCGCTCCCAATCACTGTCCACCCCCTATGCCCCAAACACACATGCCCGGAAGCAGGAGGTGGACTGGGAGGGGTGCTGAGCCGTGCCCCACAGGAACCCACTGCTGGCCAGAGGCACGTCCACACTACAGGCAGGAAGTTCAGCTGTGGAAGCTCAGCTGGCCTGCTCACACTGCACAAGAGATCCCACGTCCCTCTGCTCACTTGCATGGGACCCCTGGGACTTCTTCCCCTCCGGTTGCACTACCACGTGAACCTCACCGTTAGCAACTGTTTGCAGTTTCAAACATGCACCATCCACAGAGGAAATCACCTATTCTAGGGTTATCAACAACACACACAGCTTTCTGATATGACCTTGCATTGTTTGCCAAGAAAGAAACCACACAAAAACTCTGGGTGCTATATTTGTTTGGTTGTGGGGAATATTGGGGATTGAATCTAGAGCCTTTAGACTGAGTTACATCCCTAGCCCTCTTTCATTTTGTATTTTGAGAAAGGATCTTTCTAAATTGTTCAGGCTGGACTTGAACTTGTGGTCTTCCTGCCTCAGCCTCCCTCCGTGCTGGGATTACAGATGTGGGTCACCATGACCAGCTATAGACTTGCTGTGGCTCCCACTGATGATACACAGAGTCTACCCATAAAAAAAGACTGGTGCTGACCTCTGGGCCTAAAGGTCCCTAGAAGAAAGCAAGGCCCAGATGAGGTCACTTCCTCTGCTTTGCCTTGGGAGCCTCTGGCTGGAGGGATCATAACCCCATTGAACACCTCAGGTGTAGGGAGCCCATCACCCTCCAGCCCACCCTGGACTCTGGGCATGGAGGGGCTCGACCAGCCAGGAAGGGCTCACCCCTGGGCACAGGAGACAGGGTGGAGGTATCCTGGAGGAGCTGGTGCTCCAGCCTGGAGGAGGTCACAGGTGAGGGGAGTGTGGACTCCTGGCAAAGGGAAGAAAGTGCCTGGGCAAAGGCTGCCACACACAAAGACTGGCAGAGGCCTAGAGGTGTCTGTGTACCCCAGAGTGGGGGAAAAGGAGCCGGGGAGCAGGGCGTGGGACTGGATATGCTGAGGCTGGGCCCTGAAAGTGGAGCACACAGAAGGTTCTGGGCCAGGAGGATGGAGGGCGCCATGGGAAGCCGGAGGGGTAGCTTTTCTGGGACAGGCTGGATGTCCTCAGAGGCCACTCCTGTGCCCCTACACATCCTTCTTCATCTGCCCTGCACACATGGAGGGCCTCAGCTAGTCCGCAGCAGTTTGATCACGTCAGGAAGGCTGGGGTGTGAGCAGTGTCTGCCAGGACACAGGACACAGGACACAGGAGGGGAAGAGCACACAGGCAGCCCAGGACTGTCCCCTAGATCCCTTGACCCAGGTGGCACCACCAGTCCAGAAAGGCTGTGAAGTTCCTGTTTCAGAAGCAATTCCAGGGCTCTAACCCCAACACCTCCAAGAAACCCACGCAGGCTGCAGAGAAGCATCAGGTGTGGGACTTGCCAGGTGCAGCTGGAACCCTGCTGTCCACTCCCAAGGAACCAGACAGAGCTTCCTCAGGCCCTAAGAACTGGGTGCCACCGCCTCCCCCTCCTTGCCTTGGATCCCAAGGTCTGTCTGACCCTCTGATCTCAGGCTTGGCAGCCTTTCCTCTCCACGTCTCCACCTATGGGCACAGCCAGGTGTGCTCCCAGTGAGCTTCAAGTGAGCTCTGGGCCTGTCTGAGAAGCACTCCTGCCCTGTTTGCAATTTCCACCTGGAAGAGATGGTGTCTGTCACCTCTTAGGGAGGGACAGTGGCAGTCACCTGGTCCTACGGTGCATGGTCTTCTCTGTGCAGCTATTCACAGTGCCTACAGTCCCATCACCTATGCGCTGGTGACATGATGGTGTCCTCATAGTGCCATGAGCCCACTACCACGTCCATAATGCCTGGAGCCATCCTGGTACAGAGAAGCACTAATCTGGGGCCAGGCACAGAAGTGCACGTCACTTTTGAGGGCTACAAGCCAGGACCAGACCCAGCAGGCCCTACCCATGGGCACATGGCTGCCTAGGACTGAGCACTGGTGTGACACAGTGTGGAGTTCCTCAGGGAGCAGATTTGGACCAGCCCTGAGGGTCAGCAACATCCCAGCTTTCAGTCACAGCAGACAAAGCTGCAGGCTGCCCCACCCACCGGGCTATTTTCCTGCGGGCACCTCCCTCCGCAGCACAGCTATTTTTGGCTCTTGTGACAGTCATTGAAGGCTAGAGGAAAGGTATAAAAGCAGCCATAGGCCTCTGCCAGATAGTTGGGGAGAAGCCTTCCCCTGCCACTAGCCCAGACGCACCCTGGTGTCTGTACCCAGCTCCGGATCGGACTGTTCTTGCTGTCGCCTTCCTACCACACCAGGCCCCTGGGCTCCAGGTAAGACAGAGAGCCTGCCTGGGGATTGAGAGGATTGTAGGTCTTGCTGGTCTTCGAATGTGCAACTCAGCCTGGGCCCCTGCTTTACTGCGGTGCAGACACTGCCCAGCACCTAGGGCAGCAACTCCTATAGGGGATTATTTCATGTTTCCCCCACATCGCTGCCAGGGTGTCTTTGTAACTGTTTATGTTGGGATGGGTAAGTGGAGGCCTGAAGAGGTGACCTTGCCCAAGTCTCAAGGTCAGTAAGTGGCAGATCTTGTTTTTCCTTTGTTGTCGTCATCATTATGTTTTTTGTTTTGCAGTATTGGGGATTAAACCCAGCACCTTCATATTGAGCTACACTCCCAGCTCTTTTTTACTTTGAGACAGAGTCTGCTAAATTGCCCAGGCTGGGCTAAAACTTGTGATCCTTCTGGCTTAGTTTCCCAGAGTGCTAGGCTGACAGGCATGTGCCACCACATCCAGCTCAGATCCTGGTTTTGAACCCAGTTTTCTCTGGCCCACATTCATGGACCTGGGCTCTCTTGTGAGTGCCCGATCTTGGATGCAGTAAAGACAAAGCTCTAAGCTGGAGTGCTCTGTCCACAAAAGTGAAGAGCCTGGGTTCTCTGGGATCTGAGGAAGGGGACAGGGAGGAGTTGGGCAGTAGCAGGCTCTCACCCCTGTGCTCCCTGGCCAACAGGTGGCTGCCATGCGGTCTCGGCTCCTGTTGTCTGTGGTCCCACTGCCCACTATCCGGGAGACCTCGGAGGAGATGCTGCCCTCTGATCCTGGGCAGGAGCCCCCGGCCTCCCCCAGCCTGGAGGACTACGTGAGGTCCATCTGCCAATTGGCGCAGCCCACCACCGTGCTGGACAAGGTCACTCTCTGGGGCCAACCCAGCCGAGCCCACCAGGAGGTCCAGGTCAGAGAGAGGAGCCCAGCTTCTTCCCCCAAGGAGAGCTCTGCCAGCTTCAACAGCCCATGGCCCACACTGCCCTCTGCTGGTGCCGCTGACCCGCTGAACTGGCTCTTCAGGGAGTCCCAGGAAAAGCAGAGTGGGACAGACTTCCCCTGGATGGCAGCCCCTTCTGCCAGACCCTGGAGCGTGCACAGGCCGACAGACAGTGGCAAGGCCAGGATGCCAGGGTGGTCTCTGGTGATGCCATTGAAGCACGGGCACCAGGGTGCCAGCATGCAGAGTCGGACTTCCTTGGCTTCCCGCTGCAGCCCCCGATCCAGCAGCATCCTTCGCACTCTCTGCTCACAGCTCCCTGTAATCCACGAACTCTGAGCCTCCCAATAAAGTCTTCCATCACAGAAGTGGCTGGGCCCTGTCCTTTCTGCCTTCTTCTGGTACACAGGTCCCTATGGGCTCTGCGAGGGGACGCTTGGAAGGACTGTCTACCTGGTGACCTGCAGTGACTCTCACAGGGCAAGAGGGCACTGCTTCCACTGGCTCTGCCCCACTGGCTGAGCACCCTGAGCACACTGGGGGTCTCTTTCTCATGGTGGGTGGGGGTGACTGAGGGACCCAGCCTGGGCTCCCTGAGGAGTTAGAGCACGCCATGCTCTGGGGGGCAGGAGCTGCCACAGGTGGGTAGGCTATGGAGCAGCACTACACACCCCAACCTCGGCCCTCACTCTCAGGGTGCTCACATAGGCTATCAGCAAAGGCACCACTGGGCATCCTGGGGGACCCTGCTGCCTCCAGCTCCTCTCCTGTTATGGCCCTGGAGAGGTCCCACTTGAGTGGGCCCAGGACACCAAATGTGAGTGGACCTGGTTCCCACCAATCCCATGCCCAGGGGCCTCACTGAAGGGTCTACTCTTGCCTGTGAGCTCAGCACACAGGGCCTGTCTGCACCAGGCCTGTCTAGGTGTCCTGAGACTTGGCTAGCCCAGGACCACTCTAGGGCCACTGGCTGGGAGAACCTTGGTCCCTGCAGGCAACTAGCAAGAAGGGGATGTGCATGGGGCAGGGCCAAGAGGACTTCTTCCTCAGAGAGGTGAGGGTGGCTGGCCCTGGACAGGACAGAAGGGCATGAGGAGCGGGCAGAGCTGCACCTGCTGCTGTCTCCTTGCCTGGCTACCCCCAGCTCCTGTCTTTCTGTGTGTGGCTATTTCAACTGCCTTAAACTTGTTGAAGGTTTCTGTCCTCTTTTGTGTGTGTTACTTTTATTGGAAAGTGGGGACACCAGCATCTGCCCTCACCCCAGGACTTGAGGACCTGCACAGTGAATTTGGGGGTCTAAGCAACTCCACAGGTGTGAGCCCTGGTAATTCCTGCTGTGGTCTCTCAGTAGCCTCTGCTCTGCAGGTCCTCAATCTTCTACAAACAGAGTCAGGGACAGCCCTGGCTGTGGAGCCAAAGCAGCAGGAAACCTGGGAGGGGGCTAGCCATCCAAAACCATGCTGTGGGGGTGGCGCCCGGGCTTGGAGCTCCTCTGCAAATGTTCCCTGGTGTGAAAATATTGACCCAGGATAATCCCAGTCCGGGCCAAGAGAACAGTCAGCCCACAGGACGCCAAGTGATAAAAGCCCACACCTCCATCAAAGAAAGCCTGGGAGGTGGGGCTGCAGCCAAATCTCAGCTGCTGAGGACAAAAGAGCCTGGCAGAGCTCCTTCTCCTCCTGCTGTGCCCTCAGTGAGAACCTGGTCACTGTCACCATCTCCACTACTAGCGGGGACACAGGCAGCTCCTGAGAGCAGATGTGCATGGGCCTGGATGCTCACACCAGGGCTCCGCAGTCTCCCAGGCCTCAGGACAGGAAGAGGGGTCTGGGACCCAAGGGCTAGACTGTGTGTGCTACATGCTTAAGGCCAAGGGGTCTGGGACCCAAGGGCTAGACTGTGTGTGCTACATGCTTAAGGCCACCAGGGGGAGCCTTGAGCACCTGCAGACACCCATGGTGGGTGGGCCTGTCCCTGCTTCCACTGCCCTGCTAGTGATGGGTCACACCCACACTTCCAAAGAGACACTAGCCAGCCTTGCGGCCACCCTCTGCCACCTGCACAAGGCACAGGTGCTCTTAGTGGCTCACCTTCACTGTAGGACAAGTATAACTGTCCCCAAAGTGGGGTTACAGTGAGGGTGGCTGGTGCCTTGGCCATCTCCATAGGAAACTGGGAAAAGGGTTCCGTTTGTTCATGGACACACTTCACCCTCCATGCTCTGCTGATACTAGATGAGACAGTGTGGGAGAAGGACCCCTTGAAGATAGGTTCTGGAAGGGCAAACCCAGGGGCACCTCAGTTTGAGGATGAGAGTGACAACCCTGTTCATTGATACTCAGCAGAGACCTTTAAAACTGGCAACGGTACTTCCGGGATATAAAGAACCATGCCCAGATTTTAGAGCCGCTGTACCTCCAAGGTGACCTTGGACTAAAAACTCCACCTCCAAGAACCTCCTTCTTTGCCTAGAAATCGATCATTCTGATGTTGCAGAACTCCTGTCTCATCATAAGTGAAGGAGATGTAAAATGTGGGGTACACTAGGGCTCCCCAGAAAGATGTCAGTCTGCTTAGCCCTTGGGGCGTGAGGCCAGTCTGAGGTAGCCCTGCAGCCTGTGCCTGGTGTAGGGGCTCCAGGGGGCCCAGGGGCCTAGGACATTACAGGTCTGCAATGGGTGGGTTAGGGGACTCAGTGCCCCAGAATCAGTCCTTCCTGTCAGCATCTGTACTCTGACCTCTCAGGCCTGCAGGCTTGTAATGGTGGGGTCACCCTGAAAAGACACACACACACACACACTACCTTGATTGGAACCCTTGGCCTGTGAGGGCTGCAGAAGGCTCCGGAAAGGTGCTTTCCAGCTCTATGGTGACCAAGTCAGGCCTCCATCATACCTCTAGGGCTAGGAACCCGGAAACTCCGCCATGGGTGACTCCCTACACCTAAGGCTGCCAGAATGCCTCTGGGATGTGGAGCCTTCAGTTCTCCAGGTGGATTCCACACCAGAGCGCAGAGCCAGACTGGGTGGGGCTGGCAGCTCAGCTCCGCACAGCATTCCTAAGAGCCAGTGCTCTGGGGAATCCTTGGCTCCAAGAGCAAGATTTTGTTGCTCACAGTTCTCAAAGGAGGCCTGTCATTAAAAGGCCCAGGGGCCAAATGACCTGGGCCTGGTCATGGAGAGGGTGGAGTATTGGCTTCTCCTCAGATTCCAGGCCATGATGCAAAAGCTCCTGGCACAGGGACCACACAGAGGACCACCAAGGCCTGGGAGGGTCTCAGCACCCAGGAAGGAAGCCTGCCTGTCTAACCCCACTCAGCCCAGATCCCTCCTGCACCCCACATGGCTCTGACCTACTGCCTGGCCATGAGGCCAAGGGGTTCCAATCTTTGGTCTGTGCTACTACCAGGGGAGAAGCTGGGATACTTTACAAATAGGATGCTGAGGAGCTCGAGCCGGACACAGGTGAGAAGGTGCAGGTGCTCAGCTGGGCTGGGGGTAGAGAGAGGGACTGGTGTGGTGGTCAGAGGAAGGAAGGGCTTAGGGTCAGGGCTGCTCCTGGACAAGGTCCTGGGGGCAGGGCAGCAGCACCTCTTCCTGCTGAATTCTCATGCGGTGTCTGGACTGGGCCTGTCCACAGGAAACCTGGTCCCAGCCAGGGAGAGTCCCAGGTGACTGTGTGATTTATTGCCCAATCTGGGAAATGCGGGAGGGTGGGGGGGATGGACTCTAGAATGACCCCGAAAGGACAGGGGTCACGAGCTGGGCCTTACCTCTCGGTGTCTCAGCTGGAAGCTCCTGCCCTCATGGTAGCAGTTGTAGGTCTTCAGCAGGCTCAAGAGCTCTGATCTGGAGAGAGGAAAACATGGAATATATGGGGGTCAAGGGTCAGACAGTGCTGGCCTTACTGGCCACATAGAAACATGTGTGATCAGCCCTTCACTTTCCAGAAGATTCCATGTGTGGGCACTTGGGGTGGGGTGGGCCAACAGCGTCAAAGGGTGACACTGTTACAGAGGCATTGTCCCTGATGACCTCTGTATCCTTCTCTCTCTTCCTCAGGGGACTCCAGGGTGAGGTTCCTGACATTTCAGAAGTCTCTTCTGGCCTTTTTAAACTCTTACAAAGTCCCCATTTGGCTTCTGTGCGTACATGCAGGGGCACTTACCTCATGCCCATCTGGACTTTCCAGGGTACAGCTGAAGTGTGAAAGTGTCAGGCTAAGGGGAGACCCAGGAGGCTGTGGGGCTGTACTCCCCACCCACAGGATGTCCTTTGCATGATGGGAAGCTGTGGCACATGGACACAGCCCACAGGCAATCTCATGTCTCTCAGCAGCCAGGTTAGCAGGGACATAGCCCACAGCAGGTGGAGTTAGAAGGGACAATGTGCCACTGACCAGGACTCCAGTTATCACCACCAGCACGAGCTCAGAAGAACAGCTGGTGTATTATTCTGTAAGAAACCTTTGCCACCTGAGCATCCTTTCTAGGAATGTGCAGTCACATGAGGCTTGTTGTGGCTGCCCCACTGGCCCCAGGCCCTACTGCAACTCCTAAGGCAGTGCCACCTCCTGCAGGCAGTGTGCAGAGGGGACAAGGACCTGCTCTGGGTTGGAGTGTGGCCTGTGTGTGACAATGGGAACCTGGGGTGGGGAAGGGACATGTAACTGCATGGCATTGACTGATTGACTTGGACATGAGCCGTGCTGTGGGCAGCAATGGACAGGGTAGGGTGCAAGAGGCCTGCTTTCTTGGGGTGCTCCTCAGGGAGCCCATGGGCAGCCCATGGCAAAAGCTCTCCATTCCAAGGCTGTGGTCTGGTCTTAGGGGTGGAAGGCCGGAGCTGTCGGCCTTCCTTCAAGAAAATACTTGAATGCAGAACTCAAAATCCAAGATAAAATGAAAAAGGTATTTTTCTTTGTTCAGAAATGGATGTGAAAAAAATATTCCATATATATTTTCATGGAGAGGGAGTATATAAAATAAGTAATTTTAAAAATGCATCTGCAAAATGTACATTTGATTAAAACCTGACAACCAGTTTTGAGTTTTTTAACTGTTGAACACAACCAGGGCAATGGTATCATCCAAGACTTAAGTAAATGAAGCATCATCACTTCAGAGCCACAGCAGGTACCTTCCTGCCTTCCAGCTCCAGAAGGCTCAAGGAGTCACCCCACCCTGACCCAGGCCCTGAAGGGTGCCTTGAGCTCCTGACAGACAGGGCCCAGGGACACTAGTTTCAGGGAGAATGGCATCCTGGGAGAGCCTGCTGCCATACTGAGGCTTACTTCAGAATGGACTTGCTGTCGCTGATCGGCACGAGGGAGCCGGAAGGAGAGTCTTCCTTCATGTTCTCCTGTTGCTGCAGACCTGGAAGCTACCTACAGGAAAGACACAGAAGGCACACAGGTGAGCTGCAGGGAGCCATGGCCTTGTACTTGGCCAGGCCAGGGTGGAGCTTGGTCAGGCCCAAGCGCTACTCTGAACCCCTCCAGAATCCTCAGGCAGCTGTATGTTTCCCAAACACTGCAGGCCACATACTCTCTGACCCTGTCTGGGATGCCCTGGGGATGCCTTCTGACCCCCTAGTCCTCCAAGGCCACCTTTCCATGTCCCCTGTTTCTGTGGAGCCACAATCACTGTGTCATCGTGTTCACTGGCTCCCCGGGCCAGGGTGGGTTAATGGAATCCAGACCATGCTCCCTACGTGTGGGGACTGGCGTAGGCTTCCTGTAAACCCTCATACCCAGCCCTGGCTGCATCATCACAGGCAGGGATCTTCCGCTCCCACTCTGAGGCTGAGAAGGCAGGGGTGGGGTGTGTTGCCTAAGGTCACCCGCAGGAGAGCAGCAGAGCCACCCCCATTCTGTAACCTAGCCTCTGCCCTGCACCCAGACAGGGACTTAGCCTGGCTCTTTCTTCCCTCCGCTGGACAGCTCAGGGCTCACGGACCCTGCATGCAGCTAGCCACGTCTCTCCTTTCATACCAGGGAGGGTGAGGATCCCCATTCTCCTGGCTTCCTTTGAGAAGGAGACTGAGCTGCCCTTCTGCATCTGGCTGGCTTCTCCTGCCTGTTCCTTCTGTCTCTCTGCTAAGTGATGGGGTGGGAGGACACAGGAGGCCACTCAGGGAGAGGGTGCCTGGAAGGAGTCAGATGGTCGGGCTTCACAGTGTTACAAGACATAGCCCAACATTTACAATTTAGGAATTGTTGATAACTAGACTTCTCCACTTAATATTTTTCAGACTGAGATTCAGAGACCACAGCAAACAAACTCATACGTAAGGAGACCATAGTAATCTGGCCAGGGACCCTCTTATTAAGGCTTCCTGAGTGCCAGGAGCCAGGTAAGTCCCCCTGCTAATCTTCCTCTGCCTCCCTCCTCCCAAGTTGCATCTAGGGGACGAGCAGTAGTGACATCAGAAGGTGACATGGTCAGGGTGCTCCATGTGTTCTTCCAACCACAGAGCCAGCTCACGTCCATTCACAGAAGTCCAGCCCCACATGAGCTCCCAGGATCTCAGGGCCAGGCCAGCTGCCACCAAATTGATCAGTGCCCACCAGGCCATCTCAGTGTAGCACTGAGCCCTCCAGTGTGCTCTCCCTCCTGGCTGACACCATGCAAGTGATGACCCTGCCCCTTATGCAGGGCAAGTATGCGATCACACAGGTAGGGTGGGTGGAGAGGGGAGAGGGAGGCTCCCCAGGGACTGTAGGACCATATGTTGTCACCTTGCCCTGCTCCAGAGGACACAGCCCACAGGCCTAGAGAGAGGTCTGGCCCTTCAGGGCTCAGCCTACATAGCACACAGGGTGGGGACCCCAGGGACTAGGGCTGGGGACCTCCTGCTGCCTCCTTCCCACCAGGCAGCAGGAATTTCAAAGCTGAGTTTCAGTTCCTCAACCCTTAGCTGGCTGGGGAAGCTGATCTGTTGGCTGGGAAGTCCCTCAAACACAGCAGGGAGAAGCCGGTCTGGCCTGGGTTTTGGACAGACACTGTCTCTGTGGCCCACAGAACTGCTGCATCTGGCTGTGAGCAGGCTTGTGATGGTAGGAGACGGGCTGGATTCTCTCTTCCCCCATGTCCCCAGGGTGAGCCGCACTGGGTCCTCCTCTGGTATCCTGCCATGGCCCCTCTAGGACTGGAGCAGCTCTGACCACCTCTCTGTGTCCTGCCACCTCCTCCTGATTCCCAGTCCCTTGGGACCACCTCCTGGGCTGACACCCCAGAAGTGCAGGAGCACAGAGAGGGGGTGACTAGGCCTTTCTGCTTCACCACTTTCCCCAGCACCACACACAGCCTGAAATACAGCATTAGTATTCTTGTGCTTTGGGGCCATAATTAAGTCAATAAGGGTGCCTCCATAATCCATCTAACAACCAAGAAGGTGGCTAAGTGACAGGGTGGGGAGACACAGGAGGCCACAAGGGGCAGGGGGCCTATAAGTGGTTGCTGAATGACTGTATGAATATGATGAGATTCATGGGCTCCCCACGTTTGATCTTCCAGAGTTGTGCATATATAGCAGGGTCATAAAGTGTGTCCAGGGGTTAAGGAAGTGATGTGGTTGAGGAACATGGGTCACAGAGCCACTTGGGAGCAGGGGACTCATGCAAGATCTGTTTCATAAGGGGAGCAGGAGCCTGGGTTTTCAAGGGTTATGTCCACTGCCCAAGATGGTCACTGTGCCTTGAGCAACTACGTGAGTGCCAGCTGTCCCCACCCTCCGTAGCCACTTGGGCCCACGTGACCAACCCTGTCCCATGGGAAACACACAGACGTGTCCTGGGCCACTTCCAGGCTGGCACATTTAAGAACCAGCACCAGTCTCCTGCCATGGTGACAGAGAAAGCTGTGTGTTCTCATTGGTGTGGGCACTTGACAGCCAGCCAGGCCCCTGAGTGAGTTTAGACCAGAGCCCTGAAACCACCCAGCCCAGTTTGTACTCAGCCTGGACTCTGCTGTGACCACTCACTGGCATTCCAGGGACTTGTCACTGCAGCAAAACACAGCCTAGTTTGACTAGTGCAATTAAGACAACATGTACATTAATTTAATACTTTATATTTCTTTGTGCTTAGAAATACCACACAGCGAGACCAAGTTCACTTGAGTGGTAGCAGGGATGTAGTTTGTGCCTTCTGGCTCATGTTGTGACTTGGTCTACAGTCCTGCCCTTCCTTGCAAGCCAGGCAGTGGCTTCTCATTAATAATAGGCACATCCCCAAATGCTCTGGGCTGCGAGCCACTGGCCCATGTGGCTGCAGCTGCAAGCCTTCTCCTCTGGGCCTCAACCTTCCCATGTGTGCTATGACAGCATGGACCCCGTGGCCCTGACACCTTCCTGGCTGAGAACTGCTTGTTCAAATGCAGACTTTTCAATTTGAGTTAAAGGGCCCTCTCTGGTCGACAGAAGGAGGGTGTCAGAGCCCCTACCCTGGAGCACCAGGTGACACTGTGTGCCAAGCCCTGTCCTCCCTTGCTGGCCTCCAGCTCCTTCCCTGAGGACGTGGCCAGTGTGCTTGTCTCCAGCTGCAGGGGTGGCAGCGGCTACTCAGAGGAGGAGTCAAGAAGCCAGCGAAAGACCACAGGATAACCCTGGATTGCAGATGGCAGGGTGATGGGAAAAGGGCAGACAGCCAGGCTGGAAGGGCAGAGCCTGGGCTGCATCACAGAGGAGGGTGGAAGGGCAGGGAGCAAGGTTGGAGTGAATGGCCATTTCCTTCTGCTTGCAGGGCTGGAGGAAAACAGCTCCTGTTTATTTCTGTGTCTTCTGAGCTCCTCAGCTTCATGGACCCACTGGGTCATGGACCTGTCTGGTTCTCATTGGCCTCTGCCCCTGGTGGGCAACTTGCACATGGTCCCTGACTCAGGATCACACAAAGATGCTCCCTCCAAAGGTAACTCTGTCTTTACAACTCCTGTACTACACTGAAGGGAAAGTGGCACGCACACACACACACACACACACACACACACACACACACACACAAAGGAGATGTATACCTCTCTGTCTCTGTTAGGAGCATTTCCTGTAGCCATCTATCGGGCACAGAATCTACCTGGGCACTGAGTAGGGCCGCCAGGAAGGTGGCTCCAAGGCACAGATCTCCAATCTCTTAAAACAAAACATCTTAACAAAACAAACCTTTGGCAAAGCCCAGGGCACAGGTGAATGGAAGCGAGGATGCCAGGTTGGAGGCAGGAGTTGGGAGAGGATAGGTAGGGCTGGTTTGTCAACCAGGCACACAGGAAGACCACAGTGACGCAGAGTGGACAGGCTCAGACAGACTGCATCTTCCCCCATCCTCCCCTGAACATGTCCCTGGCTGGTCCAGCCCCCACACCCAGCCATAAGCTCAGCCTCCTGGGCTTCCAGTATGAGGGCTCACTGCCCCCCAGGGGAAGCCAGCAGCAGGCCTGCCACCGCCACTGTCCCTAGTGAACAAGCAGCCAGTTGTTTTCACTTTCCACTTCAGCGGCTGCTCTGCCAGCCATGCGGAGACAGTCTGCTATGCAGGGACAAAGGCCACCAAGCTGGCCTTCTCTCCTTTGTTGTGGTCTTGGAGCCAGAGATAGCAAAAGCAGGTGGCCATGATTCTTCAAATCATCTGAGGCCCATTTTCTATGGCCCAACTGGAAAGGGAGGAAAGGAGCCCAAGAAAGACGGTTTCTGTGAAGGGAGCCTGAGTACACTGGCAGCCTTCCGGTCTAGTGCCTCTTCTTATGCACAGCCGGTGCGCTGGCTGGTGGTACTTCCACCTGACACATGGAGAACAGACTGGCATCCAATTAAAATGTTCTAGGCTGGTCAGTGAAACCTGAGAGCTTGGCCACCTCTGTTCTGACATTTCCTGGCACCCAAGTCCTGCTTTCTCACTTAGACATGGTTTAAATCCAGTGGGTAACACAGGAAGCGACCTGGGAGGCAAAGAGAGGAGGACAGGGACAGGCCTAGCTGGAAGCCTGTGGCAGGGCTGCTGAATGCAGGGGAGGGACACTGCCTGAGTTCCCAAGGAGCAGGATGTTCCTATGTGCCAGCCAGGGTAGAGTCAAGTGGAAGGGACAAAGAGCCTCTGAAGGGCTTCCCCGCACCTGTTGCCAGCAAGTGGCAGGGGCTCAGCAGGAAGAAACCACCTGCTAGAAGAGTGGTCTGTGGATGCAGCCTGCCCTCAGCCATGCATTTTTTTCAGAGAAATCCAGCTATTTGGATGTGAACAGCTGCAACAATTCAGCAGCTGCTATCTCTGCTGCTGTTCAGTCTCAGTGTCCAGTTCCCCACCCTTGCACCACCCCAACCCCAGCTTGTCCTGAAGCTGGGAAGCCCAGAGGAACTATGCTGGTCTGGTGGGTCCCTGAGGCCGAGGCAGTACAGGAGGCAAGCACAGGGCCATTGTCAGCCCTGCCTAGTTCACTGCTGCCCTGCCCAGTCTGACCATACTACCCAGGAGCTTCCTCTGTGTCTGTACCCTCTCTACAGTCCTGAGCTCCCTTGAGCACATTCTGGCTTGTAGGCCCCTTAAAGCAGACTTCCTTCCACTGGAAAGCCTGATTCTTGTCCCCAGGAAGACCACAGACTGATCATCCTCCCAGTGATTCCTAAGGCCTTACCCCAGGGACATCGCCTCACACATGCCCCTTAGGCTGGGTTTCTGGTTTCTGCCCTTGTTCTCAGACCCAGAAATGTGGAGCAAGAGAGCTATTCCTGCTCCTCTTGATCCCCTGACACCTGACACATTTCCTGGCCTGTGCCACCATCCCAGACTAGGGTCGTCTCCTGCTAGTGGTCCTGAAAACAGGATCTGCTCAGCCATGGGTTGGGATGGGGTACACAGGTGCTCACAATGGCCAAGCCTGAGATTCTGATTGCTTGGGCCAGGGGTGCAGTGTAGAGAGGAAGGTGTGCCAAGCTCTGGGTACCAGCAGCTGCCCACAGCTGTCTATCTGGGCTACCTGTGCCCAATCCATGTGCACTTGCAGTGCTGGGGATTCTGGCTACCAGGGTTTTTTTTGGGTGAGGGAGTGATCTGGAGTCTCTTGAGAATTTAACACACTCTTCTAAGAAAACTGGGCATGTGAAAGTGTATGCTCTAGTGTATGTGCATGCATACCCACAAACTCTGCACATTGCTGCAGCAAGGCCAGATCCCAGGCTGAGAACCTGCTAAGGGAGTATGGGCTAAGGGAGTAAGGGAGCATGGTGGAGAGGGCGTGGGTATGACTGGCTTGCCCTCAGCTTTGGATCACTCCAGAGTCACAGTAACAGCAGGTCTAGCATCCTTGGGGCTCTGTGGCATGGGGCAGGTCAGGCAGGGCCTCGGGTGGGGCTCCAGATCACTACCAGCTGCACATCTGAGGATGAAGCTCAGCTGCCAGGACCGGAGACCCAGGGAGCTGCCAGTTCCATAATGGGAAGAGAAACCACAGAGCTTTGGGCCATGCAGCCCTTCCTACTTGATTGTGAGTTACTGTAGAACAATTTCAAAATACTTTCTGCAGTGTGCTCCATAAGACCATTGGCTCTGGGCACAAAGCCCTGCTCTGGGATCTCCTGGCTGTGTGACCCTGGGCAAAGTTCCTTTCCCTGCTCTGGAGCTTGGGTTCCTCAAGGTTAAAATAATTGCAATCCTCAGTTGATTACTGTGTGAGACCTGTGGACCAGGTCCCGTGTGGGTTGCCATGACACGGAAACTCCCAACACAGTTCTTGTTGATACTGCCAACGGGCCTAGGGGAACAGCCAGGCTCAGAGATGGGCATGTAGGACCCAAAGAAGGGCAGGAGGTTTTCCGGGAGGAGCAACTCTGAGAGAGAAAAATACACTAGGTTTACCTGAAACCAGTGCCCAGGCCCCAGGATCCCAGTCCAGAGGGCTTAGTCAGAGTCCACCCCCATCCAAGGCTCAGCATTCAGAATCTGAACATGCAACATCCAAACAACCAACTTCTGTGTCTGTTACTCTGTCATGGTCCAGGTGGCCCTGACACAAGGGACATAAGACTTTCATTCTCTTTTCCACCTCCAGGCCACCCTGGAGCCTCCTGCGGTTTCAGACAGGCAATTTAATCTGTGCACCCAGCTCACTCTCAACACCAAGTCAGGAACACTGGCACTGCAGAAAAGGGTGTGTGGAGGGGAGGAAGCAGGCCAGGCACACTGTCTGAGCTGAGACACAGGCTCTACCACACCCTCCTGTAGGGATTCTCCTCCTACTCCTTCTCCTTTTTCTCCCTTCACTTCCCTTCCAGCCCTTCTCAATGAGCTCCTTCAGACACAACCCAGGAGCAGAGGAGGGAGACAGGCAGGTCTGTATCACCCTGAGTCCTACAGCTCACTTGCAGGCTTGTGTTTGTTTCTTTGTTTTCTTGGCTTCTGGCACTGATCCTGAGGCACCCCAGGGCTGGGACAGTTATGGTATGGAGAAAAAGGGCTAGGCCCTGAGGATGCTGGAGTCTCTAGTTGGCTTGGGTTTGAATTCCAGTCCTTAGACCCCAGAGCCCAGAGCCCCAGGCAGGTGGCAGGGTTACCCCCAGGCGAGGGGAAGAGCAGGCCAGTCCCTTGAGTTCTAACCCTGGCCCTACCTGTGCCCTCCTGGGTTCAGGTTGGACACACCTACACTTAGCAAGCCTCAGTTTCTCATCTGAAGTGGGGTAAGGAAAGTACCAGGTTTGGAACCATAAGGAGGGTACCCTTGGCCCCGGGCCTGGCACAGGGCTCACCTCCCAAACCAGTGCCTGTGAGACTGACCTGCCCCTGTGAGGCTGGGCAGTACCGCAGTTTCCACGCTCTCCTCCCCAACCAGGACCAAACGCTTCCAGGACACTTGCTGCAGTGGGAACCAGGGCACAGGTGCACCCTGCGGTCGTGCACACCGGTCCCGCTGAGACTTGGCCCCAAAGTGCCCTCCCAAATAGGAGGCGCCCAGAACAGTGTCCAGCCTCAGCACCAGCCCAGGCCGCTCTGCGCCATCCTGGCAGGGGAGGCGACTCGGTACCTCTCCCGCGGGCACCAGTGTGCCGGACGCTGCGCTCTGCTCAGAGGAAGGGGCCCGGAGTCGTACGCAGAAGGGCCCAGAGATCCACTCTCATGGTCCGTCGAATCACTCACTGTGCAAGCATCGCGCCCTCTCCAAGTCTCTGCCCGTTGCGTTCGCTCTCAGCAGGGACCGTGGGAGCTGAGCCCGGCCCGCTGTACTTCTAGCCCTCGCGGGATCGGGCCCGTCCCTCGCCCGAGCCAGCCAATGGCACAGCCCGCCGTCGGCCCTGAGCATGCCCCTTACTC